TAAGTTTGGGGTAAAAACATTTGGTATTTGTGCAAATAATTCCCTGTTCATAGTTTTTATGGGTTGACAAGTGCAAATTGTCCTTGCCCACCCCCCCTTGGGGAAAGTTGATTTTCTCGCTTACGCTCAGGTTACATAAAAAGTAACAAGTATATTATTAAAGTATACACAATAAGCTTTCATTTGTTACCAAATACACTATGTCTTACGGGGGGGTGCTACGAAAATTGATTTCTAGCCGCATTTCAGGATTTGGCTCATGGACTAGGACCAGGCTATGGTATTCTATGCAGAAGAATAATAGGGAACAATAAGCAATTCAATAAAAACATGCTCCGTTCTATACGTTAAGAATATAAAAGGCAATAGTTGAATATGTTTTGGGCGATTATGAAGAGAAAATAATAGGACATTACGAATTCGTTTTTCCTCGTAAATGCCTTCATGAAATAAAAAATTTGCAACACAACACTTCCATACGCTGGGAGACGAGAGTCACGTTTCGCTAAATGTTGTGTAACTGTTTGCTGGCACATGTGACGCATCGCTTTTCGTTTCGCATATAGCCTTTCGCTCACGGAGAGTAAAAAGTGTCCGTTTTCTTTCAGTGAGCCTCGGTCGCCTGTGAGTATATGCGAACAACGATGAGGTTGGTTCTTTTAATAAACTGAATTTTTTGGACATTTTTCATCAGAAAGACGAAAGAAGAAAACATGCCCTCATGAGAACAAGGCTCCGGTCAATTTGAAAAATGTTGTCATCTGAGATGAAAATGGTGATGATTATAATTACACTATTAATAAGTCAAAATACGAGTCTTTCATGTTGATGGAGTGGCGGTGAACGATAGAAACGAACTCGACTCTTAAGTAAGCCAGCTTACGTGACTGGTGCAAGAAGCCGAAATATTGGACCTCCGTACTAAAATTATTGTTTCCGTTCTCTTCATAATGGGCCAGCCACCTACACCCCAGAGGCAACCTGGATAAGTCAAAGCTTTACTCAATATTCTTATACGTACATCTTGCTAGTATCATAGAAATTAATGCTCTGTGATGGAAATTTGACGGGAATGAAATTTCATGCCTTGAAAGAGTTGTTTAAAACGACAAAGAAATTGCATTTTTATTTTATATAAACTAACATTTTAAAAACTAAGGCTTTCGTTTGAACATGAACTTTTCATGTGTTTTTTGTAGGCTCAGGCTTGTTCTTAAGCAAGGTCTTTTTTCGCTTGAATATATTGTCGTTAGACTTCTGTCTCCTTAGCTGTTAAATTGCCACAAGTTCCAACATTTCGATTCAACCTGTTTCGCTCTGGTTGTGCTCTAAGGTGTGATGCATCTTGTTCGTGAACACAGGGCAACCAATGGAAGGTGCGGCGAAAGGCTCGGCGAAAGTCGCTATTTCTGAAGTAGTAAATCAATGGGTTGATCGCTGATGAAGTCAAGGCGATTGCCTCAACCCAAGGTGATACGACAAATGTAAGTTTCCTTAGTCTACAACGCTTTTCTTCTTCCATATAATAAAATATAACCAAATGCAGAACTACACTGGGCATCCATGTGATGATGCAAGCACTTAAAACAAAACCGACTGTTTTGATAGCTTTCAAATTTTGCACGACACGAACTCTTATATTTTCGCCTGAGTCAGGAATATTCTTAGCTAGTAAAATTCTCCTAAACTGTTTTCTGGCTAATTTGAAAATGATTATATAGCAAAAGGAGACCACTAATAACGGAACTAAACATATTGTAAATGCAATGAACACACAGAGTTCCATTCCCTCCTTCGAGAACATCAGAAAAGGAAGACTCAATGAGATAAACCACACCAAAATAATTACTGCAAAGCATCTTCTCTTGGTTAAACTGTCCTGATAACGGAAAGGAAACCGAATCGCAATAAAACGGTCGATTGAAACACAGCACGAGTTCAAAGTAGTGGCTGCGGTTGTATGAATCCACAGCATTTTAATAATCATAGACAATTTCCTTTGAACTCTTTGCGAATTCCAACATCTGATAACAATCCAATAAGGATCTATGACAAGGCCGACAAGAACGTCTGCTATGGATAACGAGGCTAAAAATCGGTTTGATATTGTTCGTAAAGACTCGTGTTTGTAGAACAGCCACAACGCGACGACATTTCCAGTTACAGCGGCTAAACCAGACAAGGAGAGCCACACTGACAGAACAATGGACGCTGCAGTGCTGAGATGTTCCTCCGAGCTGTTACCTTTCATGTTAAGTTGGTGTAAAGCAACCGCAGAAGTCGAGAAATAAGTCTGAAAACCGTCGTTAATTTTGATCTGCCTTCCCTCGTCAAGGAACAGATGTTACTGCGATGCTTTTTCTTCCTTTTTAGCATAGGATTATCCAAAATTGTTATTTTCAACATGCAGTTTATTGACAGGCACACCTTATTCATCTGCCGTCTGTTTGAGAAAAGGTGCGCACGAGATTAAAAATATCCCCAAAGTTTTGAAAATATGCCTTGAAACTGAAATCGTTTTGTTGTCCTCTTCAGTGCAACATTGTAAAACAGGTAGATCTCAATCTTTTTGCCGAAGTTTTTGTGAGTATCAACAAACTTGTCTTCCCGATAGGCAGCTGCTTTTGTGACAATAGGTGCACAAGAAAACGCATAACTGCAGCTCAGAAGAATTAATAATATTTGAGTTAAAAACCTCTATTTCACGTTAATCTCACAGGTGGTCACACTCACTGACTGGCTCAGGGAGTTCTAATTTGAACCTAAAAGCCAAATTTCAAATTTGATGCTGGATATTAAAGTTAGTAGCCTAATTCAAATAACTGATGGGATAAATGTGTCAGGTTTCGAATTAAAAGTTGATCTTAAAATAGTCCGTAATACGTCAGGCCATTATCAAGCCAAATTCAGCATTTCCTGAAGCACGCATCAGCGCATACTCCGTAAAGCCAGAATCATTCTCGTGACTTCCCTGCGGTAACGCAATCCTGCCGAAATAAATCAGAATAGTTTATGAGTTTTGTGCTTCAAAATTTTTGTTTCTACTTGCGTTCGGCTTCAAGGGTGTGAGATGAATAAAAAAATTCATAGAAATGCCCGATGTAATGCGTTTATAGCCTTGTCCTGAAGATCTGCACGATGTGATGGTGACTCATGCAAAACATTTCAGTTTCAGCGATATTTGTGCGTTCAGTATGGAGAACAGAAAAAGTTTAAGTATTTCCCAATGTCGTTTTTTACTTTGTTTACTGTCGGTGTACATCAGTTTATCGTAAATACGGCTACTTTTTTTTCCTGCTCGTTCCCAGAAACTAAATGTCTGGAACATAATATGACATTCTTTGCATAATAATAAAAGGGATTAAAAAGCAATTTCATGAAAACATATTTCGCAATATGCATTAAAAATTTTATGTAACTGTTTACTTGCACATGTAACGCATCGCTTTTCGTCTCGCATATAGTCTTTTGCTCACGGAGAGTAAAAAAATATTCGTTTTCTTTCAGTGAGACTCGGCCGCCTGTGAGTGTATGCGAACAGCGGTGAGATTGGTTCTTTTGATAACAATTTTTTTTACCCTTTTCATCAAAAAGACGAAACAAGAAAACATTCCCCTTATGAGAATAAGCTCCGATCAATTTGAAAAATGTTGTCATCTGAGATGAAAATGGTAATGACAATAAGTACACTATTAATGAGTCAAAATACGAGTCGTTGATATTGATGGAGTGGCCGTGAACGATGGAAACGAACACGACACTAGAGGAAGCCAGCTTAAGCGACGGGCGCAAGAAGCAGAGTTATAGAACCTCCGCACTAAAATTATCATTTCCCTTCTCCTCATTATGTGCCAGCTACCAACCGGCGCTGTGAGGCAACCTTAGTAAGTCAGTGCTTTATTCACCATTCCTTTACGTTCATTCCTATTTGTTTAGGATAAAGTGCCATGCAAAGATCTTCGAGGAGGGAATATGTGGACTGCAAATAGGGAATAGACCTATTTTATCGTAAGGATTCGTAAGCAGCTGTACGAGAGAAACTCCTTATGAGGAAGTCAGGCAAAACACCGCTCAAGCGGTGACGCGCGCGGGGAAAATGGCGCGCAACCACATAAAATTCTAGCCAAAAGGCAATTCCCGCTGGCAAACACCATCGTAGTAAAATCACGATTAAATAAATTAATGACAAAATAAATAAGGTAGTTTGAGAGTGGATATTTCAATTCTCGCAGGATCACAGATTCAGCTGGCCTTCTTTCTCCTCTCAGTTCTGTAGATCAAAACTGTCTAAATTTTTACTACAAAGTAGCGTTCTTCGTATATCTTGCTAGTATCATAGAAATTAATGCTCGCTGATGGAAATTTAACGGGAATGACATTTCATGCCTTGAAAGAGTTGTTTAACACGTCAAAGAAATTGCATTTTTATTATATATAAACTAACATTTTTTAAGGAAAAGGACTATTTGTAGAGTACACGTAAAAACTAAGGCTTTCGTTTAAACATGAACTTTTTATGTGGTTTCTAGGCTCAGGCTTGTTCTTAAGCAAGGTCTTTTTTTCTCTTGAATATATTGCCCTCAGACTTCTGTATCCTTAGCTGTTAAGTTGCCACAAGTTCCAATATTTCGATTCAACCGGTTTCGTTCTGGTTGTGCTCTAAGGTGTGATGCATCTTGTTCGTGAACACAGGGCAACCAATGGAAGGTGCGGCGAAAGGCTCGGCGAAAGTCGCTATTTCTGAAGTAGTAAATCAATGGGTTGATCGCTGATGAAGTAAAAGCGATTGCGTCAACCCAAGGTGATACGACAAATTTAAGTTTCCTTAGTCTACAACGCTTTTCTTCTTCCATATAATAAAATTTAACCAACTGCAGAACTACACTGGGCATCCATGTGATGATGCAAGCACTTAAAACAAAACCGACTGTTTTGATAGCTTTAAAATTTTGTATGACACGAAATCTTACATTTTCGCCTGAGTCAGGAATATTTTTAGCTTATAAAATTCTCCTAAACTGTTTTCTGGCTAATTTGAAAATGAGTATATAGCAAAAGCAGACCACTAATAATGGAACTAAGCACATTGTAATAGCAATGAACACAAAAAGTTCTAATTTCTTCAGTCTCTCTTTTAAGAAAATCAGAAAAGAAAGACTCAATGAGATAAACCACACCAAAATAATTACTTCATAGCATCTCCTCTTGGTTAAAATGTCCTGATACCGAAAAGGAAACCGAATCGCAATAAAACAGTCGATTGAAACACAGCACGAGTTCAAAGTAGTGGCTGCGGTCGTATGAGTCCACAACATTATAAAAATCAGAAAAAAATTGCTATAAACTTCTGGCTGAATCCAACATCTGATAACAATCCAAACAGGATCTATGACGAGGCCGACAAAAGCGTCCGCCATGGATAACGAAGCTAAAAATCGGTTTGAAATTGTTCGTAAAGACTCGTGTTTGTGGAACAGCCACAACGCAACGACATTTCCAGTTACAGCGGCTAAACCAGACAAGGAAAATCACACTGATAGTACAATGGACGCCGCAGTGCTGAGACGTTCCTCCGAGCAGTTACCTTTCATGTTAAGTTGGTCGAGAAATAAGTCAGAAAACCGTCGGTAATTTTGATTTGCCTTCCCTCTTCAAGGAACAAATGTTACTGCAATGGTTTTTCTTCCTCTTTTTACATAGGATTATTCAAAACGTTTCTTTTCAATGTGCATTTTTATTGACAGGCACACCTTATTCATCTGCCGTCTGTTTGAGGAAAGGTGCGCACGAAATTAAAAATATCCCCAAATTGTTGAAAACATGCTTTGAAACTGACATTGTTTTGTTATCCTCTTCAGCGCATCATTGTAAAACAGGTAGATCTCAATCTTTTTGCCGAAGTTTAGTGAGTATCAACAAACGTTTCTCCCCGATTGGCAGCTGCTTTTGTGACAATAGGTGCACATGACAACGCATAACTGCAGCTCAGAAAAATTAATAATATTTATGTTAAAAACCTCTATTTCACGTTAATCTCACAGGTGGTCACACTCGCTGACTGGCTCAGGGAGTTCTAACTTGAATCTAATTAAACCAAATGTCAAATTTGATGCTGGATATTAAAGTTAGTAGCCTAATTCAAATAACTGATGGGATAAATGTGTCTGGTTTCGAATTTAAAGTTGATCTTAAAATAGTCCGTAATACGTCAGGCCATTATCAAGAGAAATTTAGCATTTCCTGAAGCACCCATCAGCGCATACGCCGTAAAGCCAGAATCATTCGCGTGACTCCCCTGCGGTAACGCAATCCTGCGGAAATACATCAGAATGATTTATGAATTTTGTTTGGCACGGAAGGAGTACGACCTCTGAATTACTGTCGTGCCAGAGTCATGTAGCACGGCAAAGCTTGTCGAACTTAGTTACTTTGCTGAACTTTATTAAAAAGTCTGATTCGGACGCCGCGCTTCTGGAGCGCTTTTGTCGAACTTAATTCCTGAATAAAGTTCGGTAAAGCAGAAGAACGAGGTCTGAACTCTGCCATAGTGGTTAAGTTGCCACGAGTCCCAGCAGTTCGTACTCCTGCTTGGGCAGCATCTCGTTATGATGGGCGAAATGGTTTGAGATCAGGTAGATTACCGAGGCAACTTTTGAGTTGTTCTCATAATTTGTATCCCTTAGTCACCATGTTATGTTCCAGCAGATGTCGCTCTCGTCTTAGATCTGTTGGAGATCTGGTGGAGACCGGGCAGCCAATGAAAAGACCAGCGAAAAAACTTGTTGAAAGTCGCCGTTTCGGAAGCAGTATATCAATGGGTTTATTGCTGATAAAGTCAGTGCAGTTGCTTTAACCCAAGTCCTTGCAACCGGATTCGGTCTCTTTGAATCTCCTCGTCTATACTCTGTGGTAAGATTATAACAACTAACAACGTTCAGAATTAAAAAGGGCATCCACGTGACAAAACAAACACTCAAAACGAGTTCAACTGTTTTAATGGCTTTAGAATTTTTACCAGCGCGGAGTGTATTGTCATTATAGTTTCCAACTTATTAGGTTTTTTTTTTCTTCTCCCTACGTGCAGGAAGAGTCCCATCTCAACCCCCCCAGCCGGAAAAATACATCGTGCATGTAACGCATGCCTATGTTCTGTTCTCGTGACTTTCATGTTTGGTTCAGAGGTCATATTGCAAGAATAAAAGAGACGCTACTTACTCTTAGGGTCGGTTTAATTTAAAGGTTATTAGGGAAAACTTTAACCACAAACTAAGCATGAAAGTGATAGGATGCAAAGTTGGATTGTAGAAGGAACACTCTAAGAAGCTTTCTTCTACGCATGCATTTTTACGGTACCTTATTTAATTTCTTTTCTCGGCAAAATTAAACTGACAATGCATAGACATGCTTCAATTTCATCTCAAAAATAAATACTCTCCAGTATGGCTATAACTGTCTTTTTTTTTCAGTTTCAGACCAAAAAAACTGAAAAATATCCCTAGCAGTTTAAATCTAGAATCATTCACGTTTTCATGTTGAACCTGATGAGTACCGTCTGCTGACCACCATACAAAACCGGATGTTATTTAAATCAGGAACGGGGAACGAGGAACGGGTGTATAGCAGTTATCCACATAAGAATTCAAGTTAAAAACCCTTTTCATAAAGTCTTGACCAACCGGCCATGCTATTTACTCCGACGTCCGTGTTGAAAGAGCGCGTGCTCAAAACTGGTGCTCAGGCCCTTCGTCATCCGCTATTTTGAATTCTTATGGAGATTACCGGTGTAAACCCGTTTCTCATCCCATGTTTCCCGTTCCACGTTTCCCGTTCCACGTTTCCCGTTCCACGTTTCCCGTTCCACGTTTCCCGTTCCTCGTTTCCCGTTCGCCGTTTCCCGCTCTCCGCTCTCCGCTCTCCGCTCTCCGCTCTCCGCTCTCCGCTCTCCGCTCTCCGCTCTCCGCTCTCCGCTCTCCGCTCTCCGCTCTCCGCTCTCCGCTCTTCGTTCCCCGATCCTGATTTTAGTACAAAACCTGCCTTGTCTCAAGTGCGTTTTTTCAAGTGTCCTTAATTCGCGGTCCTCACTTCAAAATTTATGCTTTTACTTGCGTTCGGTTTTGAGGGTGTTACATGAATACAAAATTCAGATCAATGCCCAATGTAAAGCGTTTAAGGCCCCCTTGAACATCTGCACATGTGCATAATATAATAGTGACTCATGCAAAACATTTCAGTTACAGGGATATCTGTCCGGTCGGTAAGGAGGACGGAAAAATGTCAAGTCTTTCCCAACTTCCTTTCTTACCTTGCTCCTCTGTCGTTGTATATCAGCCTATCGTAAATACAGCTACCGCTGTGAACGTCTTAATATCTCCTTTTTTTGTTTCTTGCTTGTTCACACAAACTGACCGTCTGGAACAAGCTATGGCATTCTATACAGAACAATAGTAGGGAATAATAAGTAATTCAATAAAAACATGCTCCGCACTATACGTTAAGAATATAAAAGGTAATAGTTGAATATGTTTTAATGATTATGAAGAGAAAATAATAGGACATTACGAATTCGTTTTTCCTCGTAAATGCCTTCATGAAATAAAAAATTTGCAACACAACACTTCCATACGCTGGGAGACGAGAGTCACGTTTCGCTAAATGTTGTGTAACTGTTTGCTTGCACATGTAACGCATCGCTTTTCGTTTCGCATACAGCATTTCGTTCACGGAGAGTAGAAACCGTCCGTTTTCTTTCAGTGAGCCTGGGTCGCCTGTGAGTATACGCGAGCAGCGATGAGGTTGGTTCTTTTAATAAAATGAATTTTTATGACATTTTTCATCAGAAAGACGAAAGAAGAAAACATGCCCTCATGAGAACAAGGCTCCGGTCAATTTGAAAAATGTTGTCTTCCAGGCGGTGTGCGCACTCCGATTGCGTTGCATTGTGGTAGCTTCATTTTCAATATGGCGGTGAAAGCAGCAGAATTCGGCAGATTTTGACGGAACATTCCGTAAAAGTTAGGCCGTTCTTTTTTCCTTTCACCATAGGTATTCTGAATGTGTAAAAGTATCTTTTGTGAGTATTTGTCGCGTATTGTATGGTTCTCAAGGACAAACGCAATCACTGTTTTTTTGTATGTAATTTGTGACCGGATTTCAAGAAGGTCAAATTTGATGTACGTCGTAGTTTGGAGCCTTTCAAAGATTTGGATGGCCGCTTTGATCCGTCTTTAACAGCTCTGACCAAACGCTCTCAAACGCTCTCCAACGGTACATGTGTTTCTTGCATTTTAAGTGAGGGTGTTTGGGACCGATTATGGTCGAAAAAGGCCTATTGCAGCGTTACACAGCGTTACTGTTGTGTACTCAATTGTGTTGTAAATCTACTTTCCAAAGTAAAAGGAAATTAACTTATCGCGAGTGTTGTATGGCAAATCTACTATCTTGATCATTGAATGAAGTACAGTTGAATTTGAGTTATGAACGTAGTCACTTGACTGATGAATAACTCTACAATGCGCATGGCGACACACTGGGTAAGCCGGAAAGCAAAAGGCAGATCGTTAAAAGGTGTTGATAGCTTGAGCGACTCCTTCCATTCGCTTACGCTTTTAAATCTTCTAACCTGAAAGCTTAGCTGTTATTAGGATATCCTTTAATGACTTTCGTTTGCGATGTGACTATAAGGGTTATTTTTAAGGTGTCATTTCCGTATGTTCTTGAGGTTTGGCCAAGCCAGATGAGATTGTGTTACAAAAGGGAATTTTTTCATGTGTGCGCGCAATTGTTTTTTTTTTTAGTTTCCAAGTATCGGTCTCTCCCGCAGAAAATAACTCCAGATATACGTTTGTCAAAACCTTATTCTAGGTATTCTCTATTCTTTAAGCATATTTGAAACACTACGTTTTTTTTAATAAACGTTGAGTGTGACGAATTGGGTGTTAGGAGTCGTTAGGTGGTGGGTGTTAGTAAGGCTTTCCCGTATTTACGCCTTTAAGTGGATCGGTAACAGACAGTGAATTCCCTTTACATTCCACGTTTATTCACGCTATCTTGCTGCTACCGGAGATGTTCACTCGACCGCGACAGGATACAAATGACTCATTTTTCGTTTTACGACCATGATGCAACGCAATCAGAGTGCGCACACCGCCTGGTTGTCATCTGAGATGAAAATGGTATTGATAATAATTACACTATTAATAAGTCAAAATACGAGTCGTTCATGTTGATGGAGTGGTGGTGAACGATAGAAACGAACTCGACACTTAAGGAAGCCAGCTTGCGCGACTGGCGCAAGAAGCAGAGATATAAGACCACCGCACTAAAATTATCGTTTCTCCTCATTGTGGGCCAGCCACCTACGCCATAGAGGCAACCTGGATACGTCAAAGCTTTATTCAATGTTCTTATATGTTCATTT